CTTTCCCTAAGGCTAGCAACAGATGTGATTGGAGAGGCAGCATTTGGTGTCAACTTTGGCCTCTCTAACCCCCATTCAGTTTGTGAATCAATCAAGAGTGTTAACAATGTGAGAGATGAAGATAATGCTGAAGTATCAGATTTCATCAATCAACACATTTACTCCACAACACAGCTTAAGATGGACTTGTCTGGTTCTTTTTCCATCATACTTGGTCTACTTGCCCCAATACTTCAGGAGCCATTTAGGCAGGTTCTGAAGAGAATACCTGGCACAATGGACTGGAAAATAGAGCGTACTAATGATAAACTGAGTGGTCGTCTTGATGAGATTGTCAAGAGGAGAATGGAAGACAAGAACAGAACTTCAAAGAATTTCTTGTCACTCATTCTGAATGCAAGAGAATCAAAGACTGTATCAGAAAATGTCTTTTCACCTGACTACATTAGTGCTGTTACTTATGAGCACTTACTTGCTGGCTCAGCCACCACAGCCTTTACCATGTCATCCATTGTCTATTTGGTTGCTGGACATCCAGAAGTTGAGAAAAAGTTGCTTCAAGAGATTGATGGATTTGGTCCAGCTGATAGGACACTCACCGCCCATGATCTTCATGACAGCTTTCCTTATCTTGACCAGGTCATGTGATATTGATACTTGGATGAAATTCAACATTCGTACTTTTTCGAAGTTCCAAGGACCCATCAATCATGGTGTAAAATTCTCTATTTAATTAATGCAGGTGATTAAAGAAGCCATGAGGTTTTACACTGTCTCCCCATTGGTTGCAAGAGAAACATCAAATGAGGTAGAGATAGGAGGTTACCTTCTTCCAAAGGTAAATACAATATTGAGTATAATTTCTATGCATGTATTTTTTTCACTTAATTGCACTTTTTATCATTCTCTTTTTATATTTTTGCAAATTTTCTCATTCAACTTTCTAAATTGTACATTTTATTATCTAATTTTTTTCAAAAATTTCTATTTAATTATTTATTAATTTATTATCTAATGTCATTAGTTAACCATTGATATAATATCAATTAATGACATGACATATTAACTACTGATATATCATATTATTTCACATCATCTTATATATGTCATATAATCATTTATGTTGGTAGTCAACATGTCACATTAACAATCAATGTACAACATGGATCAATTAATAATTTCACATAATCAATTAATTGACAAGAGGCAAAATGTGCAAATTTTTTAAGTTAAGTGGAAAAATATGCAATTTTAAAAATTAAATAGCAAAATTAAAAAAAAAAACAATATAAAAGATGAGTGACAAAAGTAAACCTATATATTTTAAGATAATTATTATAAAAATTTTATTTATATATATATATAAACCAAAATTAAAAATATTTATCTGTAAAAATATTATATTATTTTACTTTTATTTTATTTTTTTAATTGTTCATATTTATTTAAAAGAAGAAAAAAATAGGAGTGGGGGCGAGGCGGGGAAACCTGAACCCCGTCGGCGGCGGGGATGAAGACCCAGATTTTACCCCCAGCGGGTATGGGGAGTGGGGGCGAGGGCGATTTAAATTTGCGGGGGCGGGGGTGGGGAACTTAAAACCCGCCCCCGCCCCGCCCCGTTGCCATGCCTAATTATAAGAAAGAGTGCATGGTTCCTTATAGATAGTTGATAGGCTAACTCCATATGTGACTTGATAATGTATGTCAATGTCATGGTACGCCTATACCCAGTTATATTATTCTTGATGGTGGAATTAGACTTTTCTAGTGTAAGTGACGACAACCAAGAAATCAAAAGTTAAGGATTGGTATCCCATTTTAGCTATGATCAAGCAGGCGTATTTTGGCATGAAAATGATTGGGTTGGTTCGATAGGGTCAAGCCACTTAAACTGCTCTAATGTGTTAGGAAATCTTTATAAGTGAATACATCACGACACATTAATTGAGGTGTATGCACATGATATATTATTGATTAGTGTATCATATGCATTGGATGAGTATATTATTATTTGATGTCTTGGTGTGTAACATCCAAACATATTGGTGTTATGTTGTTTGGTGAATGTTGTAAACCATGATGTGTTTTGGTTGATTTACATGTTGGTGTGTAGTATAAATGTTTTTTTCCTATACTAATATCTTTTTGAAATCTTACTTACCCTTGTATTTTTTTATGTGGTTTGGACTACAATAATCATGATTTTTCATAGGAGCAGGGTAGGGTTAGCTGAATTGGGCTTCATGGAGATGTTGTAGGGTCATTTTGGCAGTGCAGTCTTATCTTAGACTATTTTTATGGTTTATATAGTAGTATTTGACCGACACTTAGGATTCTATATTGCTTTATATTGGATGATTATAAATATATTGTATATATTTATAGAGTTTTTCTTAGTTAAACTTATACTATACATGTCATAGTATGCATATCCATGTACAGTGAATATAAAATCTCATGTGAGTAGTTCCACTACTAGTTGGTGATTCCACAAAGTGTAGCGACTATGACAGGTCATTACACTACTCCCATGAAAATTATAATCATTGCAATGCAAACCACATGAAAAAAACACAAGGATAAACTAGATTGCTAAAATATACAAGTATAGGAAAATAAATTTATACTACTCATCAACAACTAAACCATCAAACTAGTCATTTATGATTCACCTCATACAACCATCAACCAACATCAACCTATTTGATAACTACAAACCATGCAGTCAAACTCACACTAAGTCATATCATACAATAATATATATTCATCCAATGCACATAAACACACCAATCAACACATCATATGCATACACCTCAACTAATGTGTTGTCATGCATGCACCTATGGAGATCTCCTAATACACATGAGCAATTTAAGTGGCTTGACCCTACTAAACCAATCCAATCACTTTCATGCCTAATACGCCCACTAGATCGACAACTAAAATGAGATACCAATTCCTCCTTTGATTTCTCGAGTGTCGCCACTTATATTTGGAAAGTTCAATTTCACCGTCAAGACTAGTATAGTTAAGTATAAACATACCATGACCTTGACATTCATTACTAAGTCACATATGAAATTAGTTTACTAACTATCCACAAGGAACCACATAACCTTTTCAATAATCAATTAAGGGTGGTAGCCCTCGACTTCATACTTTACACCACATTGACTAAGGACCTAAAGAAGATTAAACAAAATTCACTCCAAGAGTTTCACACCTACTCAGGGGGGTTTTCAAACAACTAGTCTCTTAAAACCACAACAAGATTCCCTTCATGGGATCTTCAACTTTTAAAATAACATATCCTTGTTTTTAGTCCTAAACCAATCAACATGTTTTAATGTTCACAACATTCTTAACATCAACACCTCAACATACATCATCTATATACATTACCGCAGGTCAATGCATATAAAGATCAAATCACATTAATCATATTTAGCAAATGACCAACAATTCATCCAAGGTTAGTATACCAATACTTAACAACTTATTCAATAATAGAATACAAATGTCTATTCAAAAGTCCAACCATGCAATGTATAGCATATCAATCATACATAACAAATTAATGCTCTTTATCATCATCCTACATCATACAACATTTAATTATCAACAATTACATCATTATCATACATTATCCTAGATCCATGTACAATTTGTGTATAGGTTATTAAATTAACCCTCACTCTTACTAAATACAAGCATCCTACTTATACAACAAAGAAGGAACCAAGTGCTTCAAGCGCCCCCAAGTCTCGCTCTAAGCGATACAATTTCTCTTTGAGGACCACAAAACTCACTTGAAGTGAGCCTAAATAAGGGGACCCCTAGGAGCCTCGGTCTAGTCACCTCAAGCAACATCATCCTCACTCTAAGTGACAAGACTCGCTCAAAATGTTCAATAATTCACTCTAAGCGAGCAAAGTCAGGGACTACCCCTAGACTTCCAACTCCACTTGCTTTGAGTGAGTGAGCCCTCGCCTCTAAGCGAGTGAGCCATTGCTTTGAGCCACCAAAACTTGCTCTGAGTGATCACAATTTGCTTTGAACAAACCAAGTTAGACACACTTGCTCGCTGCGAGCAACCCTCATGGGCACTCTGAGCTAGCAAGCCTAGAAACATGTATAATCAAAGCATAAGAACATCAACCTAGCAAAGCACTTCAATAATCCAAAAATCCCCCAACCCATACCTCAAGTAATGCATGTACGTAACTTAATAATTCATACATATGCATTCCCAAGAATTCGTTTTTCCCCCAAAAACATGACATGCAACCACAAATTCAATCAAAATATGAAATTCATCTCAGCCACCTCAAGAACACTTAAAACTCACCCCTTCATCATGAAAATTTCAAAATTTACCAACCATACACTCATACATAATGAAAAACAACATGCAATTCAATCATCTCATTCACAATCAATCCTAACTTTCCTTATCTCGACTCTAAGCTAAACCGAGAAATGAGAAAAGAAGAAGGAATGACTTTAAGCTTCTAAGCTCCACACCACTCCAATTCTCAGTCTCTTAATGCTTTGAATCCATTACGTAACAACAATCCTCATGCACCAAAGGAATCTAGGAGAAATTAAAGAAGCGAAGAAAGAAATCAGGAACTAGAGTTTATCTCACTAAATTTTTCTCTCTTTAGGTTTTGAAAAACATAAACTTATGAAACTCAATTCTTAACAGAAACCTTATATACTTTCCTCACTTAGGTTCAACTAGACCTCTGACCAGAAATCCTCAACTAATTAGACTCTTGAGAGTTTGTCAACTCTTAGCCTTCCACAACACACCTTAAACACTAGATACATAAATATTGCTAAAAGCACAGAATTAAAAACTTACACTAATAGAAATATGATAGAACCTCACAAGTTCACGAATAAAACAAAAATTTAATTATTTTATTTTTTAAAAACAAAAAATAAAAGTGGAACTAAATTGAAACAAACAATTATTATAAGGGACCAAAATAAGTTTTTAGCCTAAATTTTTTTTATTCATCCCGTTCCTTCATCCGCTTTTTTTCTTCTTATCTTTGTTTTTCTTCTTCTTTAGTATTCTCAAAAGTATTTTGTGAAAATGTGTAAAAAAAAAAAAAAAAAAAATATATATATATATATATATATATATATATATATTCTTTTGGGTTACAAAAAGAAATTATTTTGAATGCATAAATACTTAATATGAACATCCTTATTTTATTGAAAATTGGAACATAGCCATGACGCTATCTGAAATTTGTTAATTTTGTCAACCATGCATGGATCGATGATCACACTTTTGTCATAGATGCAACTTTTCCATAGTAACGATTGTTGACTTCTTTATCAAAAATGGAAGTGTGGAAAACATCTCCAGTTTTATGTAACCTTTTCACTGGAAAAATATTAATTTTTTTAAATTTTGTTAAAAAAATGTTATTTAGTAAAATCTACTTAAAACTTATCAATGAAAAATATTAAAAAAATGTAGCTAAATTAGAAAAGTTATATAGTTTAATGATATTATTTATATATAAAAAGTACAAGCCCCATAAAATATAATATATAACCCGTGAATGACATAAGAGTACATGCGGTTGAATTGAATTTAGAATATTAATAGAAATTAGATGAAACCTCAACCTATCAAAGAAATTTTCCAAGTTTAGACTCTGTCTTTTCATCTTCATTTCTTTCCCCTCAACTCCTAAATTCAAGCAATCACATTCGGTTTTCTTCATCCAGACCAATGTGAAGCAAATATTTCACGAAGTTCTATTTCTCTTTATGAATTTTCCAGCACCGTAGTCCCCTATAACATTTGCCTAGAAACAAGTGATAGTTACCATCATTGTAGAACGAGAGCAAAAAACATAGTGGTATAGTGGAAGAAGAAGAAAAAAATCACACATAGATCCAATTCCAAAG